GTTAATTCAATTTGTTACTCTCCTGATGGTACTACATTAGCATCTTGTAGTTATAATGAAATTCGTTTATGGGATGTTAAGACAGGATAATAAAAAGCCAAATTACATGGTCATTCATCATTTGTTAATTCAATTTGTTACTCTCCTGATGGAACTACATTAGCATCTGGTAGTTATGATAACTCTATCCGACTTTGGAATGTAAAAACATCAAAGGAAATACTCCAATCAGATGGTAGCTATAAAGATTTGCTTGACTAGTTTACCATACCTCTTCAAAATAGCTCTTTATTGCCATATGGTATTTAATCTTTATTATTATTTAGTTAATCCTGATCGTACAATACTTAGAATATGTTAGAATCCTTTATTTGAAGCATCAGGAACACTTATCCTATAAGGACAGTTCATTAATCATTAAGGGAATGATTTAAAACCATTGTTTAAATCCAATGGAAGTTGCTTTTTAGAGGACTTATAGCAAAAGTGAATATGAATATTCATTAAAAACATTACAATTATAATTTAATCATTTTCTTATAACTTTTTGAATAATTTGTGTTTTTTATTAATATTTAAATATTTGAATAATATTTAGAAACAATGGTTATAAATTCATATTTATAGACGTATACACTATTATTTTTATAATATAAACATTAATAATCTTAAATGATAAAAAAGTTAAACATTGGGATTGAATGATTTTTAAAATTACTCAATCTTGGTAATATTTTTGTAACCTGTTATTTATTATTTTCAATTGATATTAAAAGAATTAATGAGAATAAAGGACTGAAAAGATATATTAATCATCAATAAGTATTCCAACGCTAATAAGATTTAGAGATCATAATTATATCCATCCCTAACAATAATCTTAAATAAGCTCCTACTTTCAACATACCTCTACAACATTTGGGGTAGAGATTTCTAGAAACTAAATAGAATTTTCTTAATTAGTATGAAAACAATTGTCTCATTTATTTTCCATAAATAATTGAAAAGGTTAAATTCTCTATCAAGAAAAAAGGCTCTATTTAATTTTCATGCTAGTGATACTATTATTCGTTAAAGTATGTATAAGAAAGACAATTAATTTAACTTACATTATTTCATTAGTTCAAAGGATTATAACAACGTTTATCTATAGAAATTTGCCATCATTTCCCTCAAATTTTGAATTATTTTTAAGTTTACAAAACAAGTAAAAGTGATTCAGACTATAAGTCTGATTTGTATTTCTATTCAAGTATCAAGTAGTATCAGAGAATAGGATTAGTTTGATCAATAAATTTAAAAATATATATACAAGTTATTAGTATTGAGTAATATTGTATTTATTCTAGTTAAGATTTATTAAAGAAAAATGTTTAATTAATTATAATTAGTATTTTTATGATTTAACCAATTTCTATTAATCATCAAGAAGAAAAAATGTGGTATGATAAGGGTAATAAATTGCTAAATATCATATTTAGGGTCTGCATTATATATTGACTTACAGTTTAGCAGATATAAATCAATTTCAAGAAGAAATTTAATGTTTTAACTAAGCCGTTTGTGTTAATCCTAAATATGATTTTGCATTGATTTGCAAGGGTAATTTATTTTTATTGTAAATAATTATTAGGTAATGCATTAGTATCAAATTGGAGCAATATCAAGATGCAATTAATTGTTTCACCGAAGCTATTTCTATTAAT